GAAAGAAGCTTTAGATGCGCTGCGTCCTGTCCTGAGAGACCCAGAGGGGCCGGAAGAGAGGTTTGGAGAGAAGAGGGCGGGAGGTCATCGCTCACGACTGACTGGCCTTTTCATTTGAAGGAATGGAACTTTTCTCTCGCTCTATTTCTGTCTCTATCTGTTGATCTCCTGACAGAGTCCTGGGAGGACGCTGCTGTGAGCCGTGTGTGTGTGTGTGTGTGTGTGTGTGTGAGAGAGAGAGGTGTGTGGGTGTGTGTGTGAGTTGCAGGGTTGTGTAGATTTGTCAGCATTTTTGACCGCTGCCTTGTAACCAGCTCAGACGCTGTTGTTGTTACTGTGGTGTTGGCGTCTGGTTTGTTTGGATTGGCACTGTAGAGAGAGACGGGAATAGAACTGGCATGGACCGAGAACCAGAGAGAAACCGGCTATTTTGGAATTGCATACTAACATACTACTCATTCTGTTTCTGCAGTATGCATACTGCTTATAGTTATTATAGTCATAGAATACTTTGATAAACCTACACGAATATCTATCTTTACAGAAACAATTCCATATGAAGTAAAATCAGCTCCAATTTTTAACATCTCTTTCCTGACTTATTAACTGCACTAACAAGCATTATTAAGACTTTTTTTTAAATGCAATGATGTAAAATGACTGCAGTCACTGAAATATTCATACATATGTATAAACAATAACATACTACTGTTTGAAACATTAGGCAAGCTTGCTATTTTGCATATATTAAAAAATGATGTGCTGTAATGCATTATACAGTATACTTTGCTGTTTACATTATGCAGTATGTTTCTAAACGGTTCAAACAGTAGTGTGCTACATTGTCACATGATCTCATTATGTTGCATCATGTGTAAGTCTGCAAGTGGCATCCTGTTATTTTGACAATAAATACAATTACTAGCATTTTTACTTCAAACTTTCAGCCATCCAATCAAAAATGAGTTAAGACGGAGATGATAAAAATGACTGCTAATACTGTTTGGACTTATTTGTCACTTTAGAAATAGAAAGTCAAGTTTAGTTATAATTAGATATGTGACCCTGGACCACAAAACCAGTCTTAAGTGTCAATTTTATATGAAATAATATGTTCATAGCTGAATAAATAAGCTTTCCATTGATGTATGGATTGTTAGGATAGGACAATATTTGGCTGAGATACAACTATTTGAAAATCTGGAATCTGAGGGTGCAAAAAAAAATCTAAATATTGAGAAAATCGCCTTTAAAGTTGTCCAAATGAAGTTCTTAGCAATGCATAACACTAATCAAAATGTTTTTATATATTTAGGGTAGGAAGTTTACTAAATACCATCATTGAACATGATCTTTACTTAATATCCTAATGATTTTTGGCATAAAATAAAAATCTATAATTTGGACCCATACAGTGTATTTTTAGCTATTGCTACAAATATCCCCCAGCGACTTAACACTGCTTTTGTGCTCCAGGGTCACAAATATACACCAGACTACTGGTCAAACGTTAGGGAGAACTGGAATTTTTTAATTGTAATAACATTTCACAATATTACTGTTTTTTACTGTGCTATTGATCAAATAAATGCAGTCTTGGTGAGCAGAAGATTCTTTTTTTTTCAAAAATATTTAAAAATCTTAATTATTCCAAACTTTTGACCGCCTGTGTATATGCACAGTATTTTGTGCATTCCATACAGAAAAGAGGAATGTGATAGTATGCTGTTCCAAATGGAGAAAACAAGTGAGCTCTAGTGATGGTTCCCCCTGAGTGAACGCGAGAGAAGGAGGAGATCAGACACAGACGAGAGAGACGTGAGACGTCCCACCGCTGGCCATCAGCTGGCATCAGGACACATGAACATGCTGCTCTAACACAGTTGAAACAGTGCTATGCTACAGTCTGTCGTACACAGCACATCACATCTACTGAGAGATGCTACAGCACTGATGCTGATCCATTCAGATCACAGCCGCAACATCACTCGCATTTACATAACCACTGGATGCTTCTCTACTCAAAAAAATATGGCAAATTATGTCCGAGATGTTTCTAGGGAACATCATTTGCTCTATTTCAGCTTGTTTTGTCATGGATGTTTTTCTTATTTTTTGGGGAAGAATTTCAAGCACACTTTATAGCGTTTCCAGTATAAGACATGAGGTTTAATTTACTCAGCCAAGACTTCACAGAAAGGTTTTTGAGAAAAAATATGTCAGTATTTAATCTGAAATATATTTGACATTAAATACCAACATATATTCAATGAAGTGGCGTAAAAACTTTCTTTTCTATTCTTTTAAATTATAAAAATAAATCTAAAGCAATGACTACTGAGGTACAAAAATGGATGTTTTCTCCAATTTACTAAAGATTATGTTTGTTCAATAAAGATTAATATGTAACATTATATTTTTAATAATTTAATGTATGTATTTAATTATTATTATTATTATTAGTCCTGCTTCCATTATCTTAGTACACATTTTTCCTTCACCTAATATATATTATCATTATATTATTTCAAAAGTTATGTATGTTTAATATTGATTAACAGTATATATTTTTACATGAAATGTTATATTTTTATTTTAATAGTATATATTTTATTATTATTATTATTATTTACTCCTGTTTCTATTTTCTCACAAATTGTTAGTTTTTTTCATCTTTAACGTCAAATACAAAAGCAGTGTCTCAGTATTTATGATATGTATATTGACAAATCTAGCATTCACTTTGATTAATGAATGAATTGTGAGTATAGGCTGGTTTCACACTTGTCAGCTAAACATCTTAATCGATATAAATGATTACGTTTAGATGGATGGATGAGGTTAGAGTGAGTGAGTGATCCTGTAGTGTCATCCTTTTGATAAAATAATAAGAAGAAAATCATTACTTTCAGAAGATTCTAGTGATCATCTGGTCAAACTAATGGCAGGTGAAGTTTCATCTCGTGTCAAGAGTCAGTGAGTTATTATTTTAAAAGAAGGCTCTGTCTTTCTGCTTTGCGAGCAGATGTGTAATTCAGCAGCAAATCACTAATTCAGAAAACAAAAAAAGATGTGCATGCGATAGTGAATACAAAAGCAGAACAGACAGCATCAAAACAAATGACAATTACCGTCTCATGACAGCGGTCTCAGGACAGGGCTGTAATTTCATTATTGCTTTAGTTTCTTTGGAAACCTATGAGCTAATAAGGATATTTTTTTTCTTTTGGTCTCACATGAAAACTATAATGCAGAAGGCAGTAGGCTTGCTGCGATAGACAGTGTTTTCGGTTATTCCGGTGTTAAGCCGCAACACCGGTTACATCATTTGCCCACCGCGGCACCGTTTTGTCGTTTAGATTTTTTTATAGTAACAAGTAGCTAGTTTAGCCTAGTTCAGTTAGAGGACAGACACTTTTAAAAATTAGACGCTCAATGCAGCGTGCCAAACCCTGCGTGAACGACAGTGCACCACAGAGCAGGAGTCATATTCCCCAGCGACTTAAGACTGCTTTTGTGCTCCAGGGTCACAAATATACACCAGACTACTGGTCAAACGTTAGGGAGAACTAAGGCTTGCTGCGATAGACAGTGTTTTCGGTTATTCCGGTGTTAAGCCGCAACACCGGTTACATCATTTGCCCACCGCGGCACCGTTTTGTCGTTTAGATTTTTTTATAGTAACAAGTAGCTAGTTTAGCCTAGTTCAGTTAGAGGACAGACACTTTTAAAAATTAAACGCTCAATGCAGCGTGCCAAACCCTGCGTGAACGACAGTGCACCACAGAGCAGGAGTCATATTTTCATTATCACGTGAGGAGAGTGAATCGAGCTGACTGACAATAGTGAGGTGAGAAAGACAAGACGATGGCAGAAGATGGTTTAGAAAGGAAATGCAAAGACCTGTTTGCCAATATTTTAGATTTTGAAAAGCCTATTGACTGGAAGTTTTTTAAACATTCGTTTCTTATTTATTTGGTTCCACAGTGTTTGCTGATTACTTTATTTAATCTTTGTGTATTTTATTTATTTTATTTTACATCAAGGTGTAAATGCCGTGCCTCCAAGCTTTCTTATTCGTTTTGCTAATAAACGTTCTATGTTTCTTATTTATTTGGTTCCACAGTGTCTGCTGATTTTCAGTTTTATATACCTGTTTAAACTTTGTGTAGGATAAGTAATTTGTTATTTTATTGGGTATAGGCCTATATGGTGTATTTTTATTCGTTTTGTTAAAAGTTCTGAGTTTGACGTTGTTGTAGCTTGAATTGAATCAACGCTAAATTGCCCTGCTGATTACTTTATTGTGTATTTTATTTATTTTATTTTACATCAAGGTGTAAATGCCGTGCCTCCAAGCTTTCTTATTCGTTTTGCTAATAAACGTTCTATGTTTCTTATTTATTTGGTTCCACAGTGTCTGCTGATTTTCAGTTTTATATACCTGTTTAAACTTTGTGTAGGATAAGTAATTTGTTATTTTATTGGGTATAGGCCCATATGGTGTATTTTTATTTGTTTTGTTAAAAGTTCTGAGTTTGACGTTGTTGTAGCTTGAATTGAATCAACGCTAAATTGCCCCTAATTTGAAAGTGAAAGTAAAACGTGCACGGTGCTTTTTCAAGCTATTTGAAAGCCAAGAAATCAGAGGAAAAGAGGGAAAACTCAAACAAACAATTACTTGACGCCGAATTGCGCCAATTCATTTGCCACTCATTTGAAAGTGAAAGTAAAATGCGCACCGCACTTTTACAAGCCATTTGAAAGCGATGAATAGAGGGAAACTCAAACGAACTTACACCCCCCACCCCACCCCAACGGTGATACCGGTATTACCGGTGTTGTCACTCGTCGATTAACCAGTGGGAAAATGTCCTCACTGTCACAACCCTAGCAGGCAGGTGAATCAAAATGACATGAGCTGGAACGTTAGGTCCTCAAGGCAGTCATTTTTACATAAATGTTTACGTCACTAATATTTATGTTTTGTTTCATTTTAGGAAAATGACATCCAGTACTATGACTCCAAAGCCGACTCGGATGTTGTAAGTGACCGATATTTTTATTTGTTTTGTACTGTTTCAAATGAAAACTCTTTGTTTTTGTGCGCTGTTATCAGGAGTAGTTTCTTGTCTGTTTTTTATTTAATAGCTTTAGAGGTTTTGCCTAAATCTTTTTCCTCTGATCATGAAGTGTGTCGTCACATCAGGAAAAAATTAGAGTTAGGCCACAAATAGCTCGTAACATTATTTTGTATATATATATAGTATGTTTGTACTAGTGTACTAAGGAATTTCTTTATTATTATTTCAAAAGTTATGTGTTTAATATTGATTAACATTATATATTTATATTCTATAATATTTTAATAATATTTATGTATTTATTCAATGTTATTTAATAATTATTTTTATTATATGAAAAGTAATCATAAAATGTTTTATAAAAAAGTAAAAAGTTTGTTTATACTAATCTACTAAGGAAGTATTTAGAATTATTCTGTTATTATTTTTATTTGTTTATTTACTGTCGTTATCATTATGATTTCGATAAAACTATATAAAAAATCATGCTAAATGCAGTTTTGTTGCTAGTAAAAATATTTATATATTTATATATTTTCATTACATATTTGACAATAGGCTTGTTTAGTTTCCTTGCATAAATCATTGTGTCAATTTAAAGCTTGTCAATGAGTTTGTCAAAGAAACATCAATGATTTTCGGAGAAACGTGAGACGATGTTGATACTTAAGTCTCCAAAGAGCAACCTTTGAGCAACTAAGTTCTCCTCTGGGACACAAATATACACGTCACCGTATTTTTATGTATCGTATACTCCGTAACAACCTTTTCATTGTATAAGTGAAAGGTCACGGTGACTCTTTTCTGCAGCTGATTGATATCACATGGTGGAGAAGGACGCGGTTATATCAGGCTGGATGAGTAGATGAGAAATGGAGGTACAATAAGAGAGAGGAGGAATAGTAGAGCCAGGGAAGTCATAAATCAGAGAGTGATTTTGTGCGGTAGAAGCACGGCAGGCATGTGTGATTAATGATTGGGCGCTTTAGGGGCCGTCAACATCTCTAATTGGAGCACATTGCTCATCATTAAAGGGGCCAAGGGGACGGCGGCCCACCGACACCCTCGTGACCCCTGCCGGCCCGAGAAACGCAGGGTCAGAAAGTGTGCTGAGCTCGATTCCTTCATATCCGCGACTGCAGTCACACACCTGCACATCTCCAGAAGCACTCTGAACCAATATCAGTACAGCTTCTACTGTATTAATGCCATTATTTATCAATTGTGCAACTTTAGAGACATAAAAATGTTTTGAGGTTTTATAGTTTGGTTTTATTATATTTATAATTAATTAGATTAATTAAATATATTTAATAACATTACAGTTTACATATTTTCCTTATATATCAACATAATAGTTTCTGGGTGATTTCTAAAGACTATCAGGAATCATTACTTTTATTTGTTTCAATAATAAACAAATTTGTTTGCCATTGTTCATTACATTTTGTCCAGTTGTCAGAGGAATGACAAAGATGATAATGATTATTATTATTATTATTATTAAAAATGTATAATAATAATGATGTTTGTTTATGTATTTGTTAGTATTAGTTTTATTACATTTATTACTATAAATAATAATAATAATAATAATAATATAAAAGACAAATAGTAATAAAAATAATACAACTTTATTATTATTATTATTAGTATCATTATTATTATTCATTCAATTTTGTCCTGCAAAAAACTATTTATTTATTTATTTAATTTTAGTACTTTTAATACATTAATAATAATAATAATAATTCATTTTTATTATTTTTATTACTATTTGTATCTGAATTTGTACATATGTAAAAGTGTTTACAATTTCAATATATTTGTGACGAGGGGGGCGGGGCCGAGAGCCGTGGGAACGGAGCGAGGCCGGTGGAGTAATTGCTAATGCGCGACACCTGCACCACTCACCGGTCTCGAGTCTCACGGAGGAGCTCCGGAAGGATAAAGAGGAGGAGTGACGACCGTGTTAGACGAGAGAGGACCAGGCCTGGATTTTATTTTGTGTTTTGGTTTCGTTTGTGTGCGACAGTCGTCCGTGAGGGGCTGTCGCGCTATTTTGTGTTTATTTTATTATTAAAGTTTTATTTGAGTGTTCGCCGGTTCCCGCCTCCTTCTTCCCGACCTACAAACGTTGTTACATTGGTGCCGAAACCCGGGAGGAAGTAGGGACACGCTGTCAGAGAGCCCTCGCTGCGGAGGGGGATCGCGGTGCTGAGGAGATCGGGCAGCAGGAAGAAGTGGAGAGACCGCCGGTGGCTGCCCGAGGCGGTGGTGCTGGAACGACGGAAGAGGAGGTGGGACGGAGAGCTCGCTGCCACGCTCCTGGGTCGAGGAGGGGTGGCTGCCGTCCGTGAGGGAGTGGAGGAATCTGCCCGTTCGCCAGGAGGCCGGAGCCTGCGGCCATCCGCCATGATTGGGGAGGAGCAGGGAACGGGGGACTCGCTGCCGGCTGCCCTCAATAGGAGGAGCCATCGCTGTCCGCCAGGGGGCGGAGGAGTGGTGGGCCGTCCACCAACGATGTCCAGTACCATTGCATGGCACCGCGAGTGAGAGCCTCTCAGCCGGTTGAGGACCAAGCGGCAGTGTGTCTGGGAACCGGACCCAGAATTTTTTTTTTTCTTTTTTCCTCTCTCCCCTCTCTCGTTTGTCTCTCCTCATCCTTCCGTCTTCTTTTCTCTCACCTCGTCTGTCTGTCCGTGATCGGCTCCCCCGGGAGGGGGGAGGGGGGGAGTAGAGCGCAGTCTCGGGAGTACCCCCCAGCCTGCGAGGGGCGATGGGGGGATGTGACGAGGGGGGCGGGGCCGAGAGCCGTAGGAACGGAGCGAGGCCGGTGGAGTAATTGCTAATGCGCGACACCTGCACCACTCACCGGTCTCGAGTCTCACGGAGGAGCTCCGGAAGGATAAAGAGGAGGAGTGACGACCGTGTTAGACGAGAGAGGACCAGGCCTGGATTTTATTTTGTGTTTTGGTTTCGTTTGTGTGCGACAGTTGTCCGTGAGGGGCTGTCGCGCTATTTTGTGTTTATTTTATTATTAAAGTTTTATTTGAGTGTTCGCCGGTTCCCGCCTCCCTCTTCCCGACTTACGAATTTTGTTACAATATTGATATTGTTTCAGTGTCTATTCAAATGTAAAGGCTTCACTTATGAATATCTATGAGTACGAATGCAGTAACATCAGAGGAGTTGCCGTTGCAAGAAGAAGTGTTTTAGTCGACAAAGTCAGACAAAAGCTGTTTGTTTTTTTTCTGACTGGCAGTGGAAATCAGGTCCATCAGCTCAAGCTGAGCTTTCTCTTTTTGTCATCACAGTCTTCTCCATCTATTTCGTCTCTGTCGTCTCGCTCGGCAAACTGTGGCACGGTGCCATTCCATTCCCTCCCACTCTCCTCCTCTTCCATGCTGTTTTGCGATGCCCTTTGGAGCTTTGCTCTCCTCCACCTACAGCAGGAAAGATCTGTTCGTTTTCCTGCCCTGGAAGTTGTGATCTTCAGTCCTGTCTCCATCACGAGCCGCGTGTGTGTGTGTGTGTGTGTGTGTGTGTGTGTGCGTGCGTGCGTGCGTGTGTGTGTGTGTGTGATCTTCCTTAGACCCACCGAGGAAACCTTTGGCTTGATGTGTCGCAGGAAACTTTGATGTGTTATTTTTGAGATGCGCTTCAGATACTTTGCAACAGGAAAATGCTAAGAAAAAAAAAGTGCAGAAAATGTACAGTACTTTTAAAAATCCAGATGGTAAACTGATGTCTAAAAGAGTTCAAAACCAAAGAAAATAAATAGTAAATTGAAATTCGTAGTACACCATCATAATCCAGATGGTGCAATGGCTTCTTCTTTTATTGATTACGTCGCCATTGAACACACAAAGTTATTTACGTTAAAACACCAACATCTGCCTGCTGGATGTCAGTTGCCAAGCGCTCTGATGTACAAATAACAGATTAGAGGTTCACTAATGCCATGTACATGCTAGAGGAGAGAGACAAGTCATCTAAGTGAATATAGATTTAGATACAACATAGATGTTTTGTGTTGTTTCTTGTGTTGCAGTCTCTCTAGCACAACATGCGCATGTTTTGAATTTAAATGTGTGTGTGTGTGTGTGTGTGTGTGTGTGCGTGCGTGCGTGTGTGTGTGTGATCTTCCTTAGACCCACCGAGGAAACCTTTGGCTTGATGTGTCGCAGGAAACTTTGATGTGTTATTTTTGAGATGTGCTTCAGATACTTTGCAACAGGAAAATGCTAAGAAAAAAAAAGTGCAGAAAATGTACAGTACTTTTAAAAATCCAGATGGTAAACTGATGTCTAAAAGAGTTCAAAACCAAAGAAAATAAATAGTAAATTGAAATTCGTAGTACACCATCATAATCCAGATGGTGCAATGGCTTCTTCTTTTATTGATTACGTCGCCATTGAACACACAAAGTTATTTACGTTAAAACACCAACATCTGCCTGCTGGATGTCAGTTGCCAAGCGCTCTGATGTACAAATAACAGATTAGAGGTTCACTAATGCCATGTACATGCTAGAGGAGAGAGACAAGTCATCTAAGTGAATATAGATTTAGATACAACATAGATGTTTTGTGTTGTTTCTTGTGTTGCAGTCTCTCTAGCACAACATGCGCATGTTTTGAATTTAAAGGTCCCCTGAAGTGCCTTGAAACACGCAGCGTTATTCTATGTGGTGACGTCATTTCAACTGAAACAGGAAGACAGGGCGGGACATATCGAGCAGCCCTGCCCCGATTTTTAAATTGGCCAATAGCGTTTTGTTTATATCTGCACCGGTCAGAGCCTTTGAGCTTGGTAAAGCCACATTTGACAGCCACAGTCTAATAGATTACCCCCTATGAAACTCTTAGTAAAACAAAATAGTGATCATAATCATGCTGAGGCTGTGTAGGTTTAAAAGTGTTTAATATATGCCGACTCGCGCATATGATCCGCTCAGT